AAGAGTCTTTGATGATGACGAAAAGCTGGAAAACGATCAACTGGTTCTCAGTTCAGGTGCCCTGGAAGGTGCTGGAGCCTTTTGGGACAACAAAGTGCAAAAGGCAATTCAGGATGGAAGACGGAAGAAGAAGACAGAACCCTCACAGTTCCATACGAAACTGGCTAACGAATTGCACAAGCCCAGACGAGTGCATTTCAAAAGACGCAAGGTGAAGAGCAGAGCAATTGACCATATATGGAGTGCAGATCTCGTGGATATGCAACGGTTTGCCCGAAGCAATAAGAACATCAAATTCCTGCTAACAGTCATCGACTTATACAGCCGCTATGCCTGGGCAATGCCTTTGAAATCGAAGACGGGTACCGCCGTGAGAGATGCGTTCGATAAGATTGTCAGTACATCCGGAAGGACACCGCTAAAACTCTGGGTAGACGAAGGCAAGGAATTCTACAATGCCCCCATGAAACGATGGTTATCACAACACAACGTCATCATGTACAGCACCCATAACGAGGGTAAAGCGGTGGTGGTCGAGCGCTTCAATAGAACGTTGAAGGCAAGAATGTGGCGTCACTTTACAGAGAAATCCACGAACACGTACCTCAATGTCCTACCTCATCTACTAGACCGCTACAACCAGTCAAAGCATAGAAGCATTGGGATGACACCTCACGAAGCATCGAACGGTAGAATACCAAAAGATGCAGATCAACAAGACCCCCTGCAGTCAAAACCCAAGTTCAAAGTGGGTGACGAGGTGCGCCTAACCGTATCTAAGCGTCATTTCGAGAAGGGCTACACTGCGAACTGGACGGAGGAAGTATTCGAGGTGGATGAAATCCTATCAACATCACCACACACCTACAGGATTCGTGATCTGATGGGAGAACACATCATCGGATCGTTTTACGAAGCAGAACTGCAACACGCCAGAGAGACCGGTTTGAGATTCGACAAGGTGTTAAAATACAACAAGGATCAACGTCTTGTGCAATGGAAAGGCTACACAGATAATAAATTCAATACCTGGCTCACAAAGAAGGATGTGAACAGTCTTCGGTCATGATTCACAATGTCATTCATATTGAAAAATAAAAAATAAATGATTGAGTGCTATGTACAAGCTGATGGCGTTCATGAGAATTATCGCATGAGTATGAGGGGTATACTGCTGGACACTTTCACGAGTGCGTTAGCACGACGAAAAATATAAGGGATACGGTATGTACAGAGTACGAATGGTATAATCCAGTTATCCCATGTACTATTCCAAATAGAGCGCGATCAGCACTAAGACATGTATCGATTATCCCACGAGTACGAGCAAGAGTACATGTACTCTTGGTACGAGGGGTACACCGCTAGATATTTTCATGAGTGCGTCAGCACGATTGAAAATATAATGGGTACGGTATGCACAGAGTACGAATGGTATAATCCATTTATCCCATGTACTATCCCAAATAGAGCGTGATCAGCACTAACATCTCCCTTATTTACTCTGTCGCAAGACCCGGGGAATATTCGTGCTCCGAGCGGGGAATATCGCTCTATTGACAGTTGAGTCCTCTTTCCAAGATTCCTTTTGAATTCCTCTCTACCATCTCTGTATGAGAAGAGACCACGGAATTCCGTATATGTATAGCATCCACCGATCGTGCAGTTCGCTGTGATGTCATTGCACAGTGTATGTATATTATGTGCATGTGTGTGTGTGTGTTTGTGTGGTACATGATGCATCCTACAATCCACTGTGACGTCAATGCACACTCCATGATGTGCGCATCCATGGTCCGTGTGCCTTACGTATTTCCACCCCTGAAAATATATGAAAATCAAGTACTATGAGAGTAAGAATTATATGAGCAGAAAGCTAGAAAAATCCTCCGTCTCATCGACATTTCAATAGAAGAAAGGCATTCACATCTCAATCTGATATCATAGTCGAAAGATTCCAAACCCGAACAAAAAAGACTCACCATGACGGGGGCGTCTTTCCGCTTTCGAAACACATCGTGTTCTCCAAGGTCGTCACCTCCCCGTGGCGTGACCCCTTGGTCTTGTTTGAGACGTCTAGACGTAGCCTTGTTTACAAAGGTCATCGCGGCGTGAACTTTGACCTCGAGGTGAAGTAGTCTCAACCTGCAGTTTCATTATCGACTCCTTCTTGCAGTGTGAAGAAGCTAAAATGGCGTGGACATTTTCTGAGACGTGCAGAGCAGAGAAATGGTATTTATTTTCATGCGATAATGAAGAGTTCTCAATCCGTCGCCTCAGTGCTAGCAAGACAACCAGGGATCTTGACCCGATGATAGCACATCCCAGAAGATTCGATATGTCACCACTCACTGCTGCTGAGTATATTATCTGCAGGGTCACCAGTCTGATCTTGAATGTGAAGAATAGGAAACAGCACCTTCCTAAAATCGTCATCGGTGGTGTGGAGGACTACGGAACTATTAGTGAGACTGATGATGGTGACATACTGCGAAGGTGGACTGATGGTAGACACTCATTCTACAAGCTTAGTGACATGCGTGACGAACCGTGCTCTCAACACATCATCGACCTCTTCGCTGATGCAACCTATTTGGATTCCAGCGACGTAATGCAACTTGTCAAGGAGGTGAACGAAAAATGAAGTCTCTCGAGTTGATCGTGTGCGTGTACGACGTAGTACCAAGGCCGTTCAACTCCGTGCCGTTGCAACAAGAGTAACGCGGATTCGTGTGCGAGTTGGTACGATCGACATCGACGATGGATTCATCTCCAAATTACCCGAGTCGACTGTTGACACGATGGCAGTGCAAAGGAGGTCGTCGACTGACAGTTCCATTGCTGACTGGGTGGAACCATTGGTGCACATCAGAGCGTCCGACAACTCCACCTCGTACTGCGTGTCACGGAAGAGATCATGGGTGAATCCATCCTCACACGTATTCGAAGAGTAAACTTTGTGGTCTCTCATCCAATACCAGCTTGATGAAATCAGGACAACAAGAACTGAATTGTACTACCTTTCTCCTCCACTCCATTGCGATATTCACTGTTCGTTCCATTATTCTTTGTAATGACATGTATCGTATCTATCAAGAACTGACCTTTCTGACGTGTGTGCGAGCAGGACCATTTTTGAAAAATTGCATGGGGAGGTGGGGTAGGTCACGGAAAAAACTTCATGATAAACACCATATTCAACATTCTACTTTTTATACCCACTCCCATCCGGGGCAAGGTGGCCCAAAAAAGTAAGATTCAAACCCACATGTGCACAACACATATTTTCAATAATACCCCATTTTTTTGAGGTAGGGGCACCCCCTGGCACATATTTTTATCCGCAAAAAAACCGGGCCAAAAATAATTTTCACCGCAAAAATGGGGTACTATTAGTACCCCATTTTTCAATAATACCCCATTTTTTGGGACCCGGGCGCCCCCTGGCCCAGAACCCGCTCGTACATTGCTACTACCAACCATTAGTTTTCTACATCAAACCACAAGGCATGATCATTCGCACCATTTCTCTATGACGTTGCATTATAGTCTCCACATCCATTTTAAAAGTTATTCGTCGTTTAATTAAAAGCCTACATGGGAGCTTGCACTATTCCTGCCGACTTGAATTCTCACTTGAATTCAAGTGAGTGAATCCTCACTCGGCAGGAATAGCACAAGCTCCCACGTGGGGGGCAACACACAATTCCCCAATTATCGCCAAAGTCGCAGCATTAGGGGTGTGCGGATAATGCTCGAAACGGTGGCAGATTCTGCTCGAAAAGCAGTGAAATTGGCAGAACCATACAAGCCTTATGGCGGGCAATTCCTCGAATTCTGCTCCATTAAATTTTCTTCATCCACATACCAAACATGCATGAAACTTACCAGAAAAAGTACCAAATTCTGCCAATTTGTCTGCCGGCATTATCCGCATACGCCAAAGTCGGAGCATCATCTTCTTCACTTTACAAGCCTGATAGATAATATTAACTTAATGACAGTTCTGGCCAGACGAATTCGACTTCACCGAAATCAAGTATCACCTCAGAAGTGCCCAGAATAGCGTGTGTAGAAAATATTTTTATTATGAGGGCGCTTGTGCGTGAGTATGCCTTTTCGTGTGCGTGTACTTGTGCATGTACACGTGAATGTGTGAAGGGTGCAGTGGATGTGTGAAGGGTGCAGTGGATGTGTGAAGGGTGCAGTGGATGTGTGAAGGGTGCAGTGGATGTGTGAAGGGTGCAGTGGATGTGTGAAGGGTGCAGTGGATGTGTGAAGGGTGCAGTGAATGTGTGAAGGGTGCAGTGGATGTGTGAAGGGTGCAGTGGATGTGTGAAGGGTGCAGTGAATGTGTGAAGGGTGCAGTGAATGTGTGAAGGGTGCAGTGGATGTGTGAAGGGTGCAGTGAATGTGTGAAGGGTGCAGTGAATGTGTGAAGGGTGCAGTGGATGTGTGAAGGGTGCAGTGGATGTGTGAAGGGTGCAGTGGATGTGTGAAGGGTGCAGTGGATGTGTGAAGAGTGCAGTGGATGTGTGAAGGGTGCAGTGGATGTGTGAAGGGTGCAGTGGATGTGTGAAGGGTGCAGTGGATGTGTGAAGGGTGCAATGGATGTGTGAAGGGTGCAGTGAATGTGTGAAGGGTGCAGTGAATGTGTGAAGGGTGCAGTGGATGTGTGAAGGGTGCAGTGGATGTGTGAAGGGTGCAGTGGATGTGTGAAGGGTGCAGTGGATGTGTGAAGGGTGCAGTGGATGTGTGAAGGGTGCAGTGAATGTGTGAAGGGTGCAGTGGATGTGTAGCCTCCCCCCCCCCACCCTCTCCTCGCGCTTATTTTTATTCATGCGATCGAATTCATCTGGCCAGTTTTTTTTACCAACGACCAAAAACCCCTGGGAAGATGGACTCGAACCCATAGCGTCCTGGTTATGGAGCGAGGATTACGAGTGGATAGCAGCTACTTGCACGTGTATGCTAACTTTTGTGTCTACATGTGCTCATAGGTGATGGCGTGTGGCGCTCGTGTTCAGGGGGCATTGAGATCCTCATAGCCACAAACTCCCCAAAGACATGGACGGAAGCCGAGAAAGAATGCCAGCGATGTGGTGCGCATTTGGCTGTGTTTGACGCAAGCACCATCGGTTCCACATGCAGGAGTGAAGTGGAAGAGGTAAATAGTAAGTCCGGGGCACACGTTGCCTTCACCTCCCACAGGCGTGACATGTTCAACGCGCTCTCCGACTATAACGGTGACGCGCCACTACTGAAGTTCCGCTTGATGGGAGCAAGATGTGCAGAGAGGTCCTCCGGCGGTGCAGTATCCATCAGCGATGCAGCCTGTAATGGTGGCTCTGCGCTGCCATTCATTTGCCAACGACCAACAGGTGTGTAGTAGTCGTGTGTTGTGGGAAGGTGGCTAGGTTGCACTGTTATAATTTTTTATGCTAATAGTGTACATGTAAAGAACAATAACAAGAAGATGAAAAAAGTGTTTTAACTCCGAGCTTCAGGCACTGAGGGGCCATCCGCAAATTCCGATATTTATTTAGAAACGAAAACTACTTCAGTATTCATTAAAAAATTTCTTTTCGACCCCCTTCCCCTCCCCGAGAAACGAACACATACAGATCGTACATATCATCGATATTTTTTTCTACTTAATGGGTCATCAGAAAACAGTAATGAGAAACTCTGGATACTGGTTTATACAACCACAAAGCAAAAGTGTAAATGACAGCAGTTGTAAAAGATTGCATCACGGCATGACTTTGAAAGGTGTAAATGACAGCAGTGATGAAAGATACTACTTCAAGTGACACACACTGGAGCTGGTTGTCTGCTACTTGATTAGGTGATGCCTGTGGATGATTTGAAGTTCCGAAGGTACAGGTCCTCCCTCGTTAGTAGATAATCTCCGGGCCATCGAAAAAGTTTTCTTATAACGAGACTTATCTTGTAGCAGGACTTGCAGCTAAAGGTGAAATAGGCACTACTTCGTACTTACCGGGGCTACCCTCGATACAACATAAATTATCGATGATTCAACTCGTTATAAGATAATTGAAAATCTCCAAGTTACTCCAACATAACTCTTCCTTAGATGAAAAGGATCGTCCATATTCACGAATACATAGACATAATACGTTTCCTCTTTCTGCTTTATCCTACGTGTTTTGGCCTTGGTCCTGTATGGTCAATATTATCTTATACTGAGGGTTTGGCACTCCAGGGACCTGGGCAAAGGGTCGTTATAACGAATTTTATGTACTAAAGGATTATGTTGTAACCGGACCTGTAAACAGTAACAGTTGTATAGACCACGTTTCGCCAGGGGATTTCAGATTTCTATTTACCAACGGGGTTTATGTACATGTAGTAACCGGACTCGTTGTAATGAGGGATGACCTGTAGTGACTTATTCTCATAGCGACACTTTGACACAAGTTCACTCCTCTTCAGTGTTGAGAGGGGGGAGAGAGAGAGGTGCTTGGGTGTTTGCGTGATTGCCATATTTCCGCCAGGCATAGGTTGTACATTTTGCTATTGTTATTGTAGGCCACTGGTTTGCGCTGCACTGCCCATTGAATGCTGCATGCCTTGCCCTCATCCTTCCTTCTCATACTTTGATACCCGCAATCAATAAGACAAGCTGAATCGACGTTTGTGTATGCTTTAGTCTTGCTATGTAAAACGGTGGAGATTTTCATTGTTTTATTGCACATTGTCTCCACCGTTTTACATTGCATGAATAAAGTATACACAAATGTCGACTCAGCTTGTTTCAGCGGAGTAAGCGGCCAAGTACCCGAAATTGATCGACGTGGAAAGATGCCAAGGATCTGGTGCAGTAACATAAGAAAGAAAAGAGGCGAAGAAGAAGAAACAAGAAAGCAAGAGGATCACTTCAATTGCTAACAAGGGCACTAGCCTATAACGAGAGAGCTTGGAAGCTCAGGGCCCTACGCTATGCTATTTTGCCTTGATGACCTAGACAAAAAAAAGCATAGGGATGTTATAAATTTTTTAAAAAAATTCCTTTTTTTAAAGACATAACCTGGGATTCGAACCCGCACTATCGCGCACCCTGCATGCATCCCCCGATACACTTCGCATACATACTAATTATTCTTCCAAGTTGGTTCACGTTATAATCTTGCATTTGAAAGCCCTATTTGAATATGCATTGTGGCCAGCCGTCTTTGATGGTACGGTACGGGATAGGTGCGGGACAGGTACAATCGAGGGTAATACGACACCGTCTACCGCCTTGATGACGGCAAAAAAAGCATAGGGATGTTATAAAATTTTCAATTCTCCTATTTTTTTTTCAGGCATATCCTGGGATTCGAACCCGCACTATCGCCCTACATGCAATCCCCCATACACTTCGCATTCATACCCATTCTTCCAAGTTGCTTCACGCTATGATCTTGCGTTTGAAAGCCCTATTTGAATATTGCGGCCAGCTGTATGTGGCCAGCTGTGTTTGATGGTACGGGACAGATACGGGATAGCGCCAGGCGTGACACAAACAAACAAACAAACACACAAATACCAAACGAGAGAGCTTGGAAGCTCAGGGCCCTACGCTATGCTTTTTTGCCTTGATGACCTAGATAAAAAAAAGCGTAGGGATGGTATAAATTCTTTAAAAAATCCTTTTTTTAAAACCTGGGATTCGAACCCGCACTATCGCGCGCCCTGCATGCATCCCCCGATACACTTCGCATACATACTAATTCTTCCAAGTTGTTTCACATTGTGATCTTGCATTTGAAAGCCCTATTTGAATATGCATTGTGGCCAGCCGTCTTTGATGGCACGGTACGGTAGGGGATAGGTATGGGACAGGTACGATCGAGGGTAATACGACACCGTCTAGCTGCCCGCAATATTCAAATAGGGCTTTCAAACACAAGATAATAACGTGAAGCAACTTGGAAGAATGGGTATGAATGCGAAGTGTATGGGGGAATCCATGTAGGGCGATAGTGCGGGTTCGAATCCCAGGATATGCCTGCAAAAAAATAGGAGAATTGAAAAATTTATAACATCCTATGCTTTTTGCCGTCAGATACGGCTAGCGCCAGGCATGACACAAACAAACACACAAACAAACAAATACCAAATTAAAGCTGTGTGGACCCTGGCTAGCGCCAGACGTTACTGAAGTAACGTCTTCTGCATAGCTACGGGAATTAAAGATGTGTGGACCCTGGCTAGCGCCAGATGTTACTGAAGTAACGTCTTCTGCATAGCTACGGGAATAAATTTTTATTAGTTCATGTCACAAAGAGCGGAGTCCTCCTGATCGATACGTATAATCAGTTGTCTGAAGATTGCTATATGGCATGAAACTTTAAGTTACGACAATCAAGACAATCAAGACGTGTGGTTTTTCTGTGACTCGTGTATTAGTTCATGTCTACGTATGCGGTGAAAAGAGAGTCGTGGAAGTCGTCAAGACTCCCTCAGTCCCGCTAAAAGTGGTAGTGATCGAGCATGCAGTCCTGTTATGTGTGAAGAGTGCAAGTCACACGACATACTATCGTAACGAAAGAAAAGGAAAGCAAAGTCAAGCGCGAGCCAAACATAATCTAGAGCGCGAAAACAAACACAACTGTTTCTAGCTTTTTAGCAGACTGGCGGCTGCGCTGGCAGAAGCGGGCACTCCTGGCCTGGTTTGAGTCCTGGTGGTGGTGGCAGTCAATTTGTTTCCTTCGTAATTTTTCCATTTCAACTCCCTCAAACCTACTGTGAAGATGATTTGTTTGAGAACAAGTTCACAGGATTAGAATAGAAGAATCAGTTGGAAGCCACCATGTCTACGGTTCTTAGAATGGACTCAATGGAGTTATTCATTGCGAAAGCTGGGAAGACAGAAAATGGCCAACTCTATCTGTGTTGCGTAAGGCTACTAGATTCGAAAGAATCAAAGCGCTTATGGAGTGAGACATATCAATCCGCCAAGGATGCCCAAAGGACGAAGTATTTAGCCAATCCTTCATTTGTTCAATGCAGCTGAGAGATTGTTCTTGGAGTGGATGTGTTTTCGATTGGAAGTAAGACATGTTATGAGGATCATTAGTACATAGCACAAGTCAATTTCGAATTCAAAGCGGTGTGCAGTTGGTCGCAAAATGCAAAAAAACTCCAAACTACTTGAACACTCTGGCGAAGCAACCTGACCGGGGCCGGGATACTCAAATGCACCAGGTGCGATTGGCGTGACTGCGGATGTTATATACAAGGTTTTCATGGACTTGATGGAATAAGATTTGCTAAAAATTAACAAAAAAAGTGACATGGAGACTTTGGTGTTTTTTATAAAAGCACTGAAAAGGAAAGATTTTTAAGTTTTTATGGAGAGATTTGGAGAGGTTTGCTTTTTGTTCAGTGTAGCCAAGGATTTGGCGAGGCTGTGTGCGGTAGAAGTTCAAAATTAGCTCCTGAAAAATTACTTTGAAGTACGAATCCCACAGTCACTCATCACCACACATCATCGAGTGGATTTTCTTGACTAAAGGCTAGCACTCATCTCAGACACCGAACCATCTTTCTACGTAAAATTAAATCTGTGGGTAAAGAGCCATTCGTGTGTTCTCTGGGCAGTCGTCAACCCATGTCTTGCTACATGTCTTGCTGGTCTGTGTCTATGTATGTGTGTGTGATGCTCAGACGAATCTCAGCGAAAGATGTCAATCTTGTGCAATCGCGCACAGTACATCTATCATGTGTTTGCGTTTTCAAGGCAGCACGCCGCGGACACCTGTGACGGGCTTTATGACGGCGGTCAGTTGGCCAATACGACCCAGTCCGACATCAGCTGTATACGACAGCTTCTCAACTCTGAACCGCTAGCCCGGCAGAATATGACTTCTGTGGAGATATACACATCCACACAGGAAGTGTCAGCGCTCAATGTCAGGAGCTGTGGCTACTTGAATGCTGCGACTGGAACAGTCCAGATGCGCCCATGTCAGAAAGTATCTCCAGTCGTATGTGTAAGGCAGGGTAAGTCCTTTTTAAATTTTTTTTACAAGATTCACAACTTCGCCGGCAGGCACATGGGGCTAGCATGGGGTGAGGTGGTGCTGCTGGAGCCTGCAATTGCCTGCTGTGCTGGCACATGGGGCTAGCATGGGGAGAGGTGGTGCTGGTGGAGCCTGCAATGGCCTGCTGTGCTGATTGTCTTTCCAGCCAATACACATGAAGACAATAGTCCCTTTTACCAGGGCTTCGTATGCAATTCAAGGGACCTACGTGTGGTTTTAGTCCTACCTTCGTGTCATTGGCGTCAGGGAAGACAGAGTCAGCCTGAGATCATGCGGTAAACTGAGAGCATTTTGCAACTAACGTTGGCATAATTTGCCATTAACGCAAATTGTGTGTCAGCTTACACACATAGCAATCATTCCTATAATAATAATTACTTGGTCCGCGTCAGCGATATTGTCGCTTATCTTTCAGCTTTGTTTATATGTCGCCAATGCTTACTTGGCAGCCCGTTTCATCCCAATTTTGGTTAGCCAGTTAGTTTGCTAGTACCTGAAAGGTCTAGCTAGAGTTCGAGTGGATTTCAAGAGCGACAGGTGGGCGATTCAGATTGATACAGCGCCGCATCAAAATAGATTATCTTTTTACGCCGTGCAGGCAAGAGCAGCGTAAGCCACAAGAAAGTAATTGGCTACTCGGAATCAGCTCCATTTTGCTGAACGGCCGAGATCGCTCACCTCAGGGATCGCTCATCAAGCTGAGATCGCAGCTCCCTTACCTCCAGCTCAACGCTCGGAGTATCCAGCGCATCGTGGAGATTTGCAAGTACTGTACGCGTCGTCGTCGTTCAAAATAAAATCTTGCAAAGAACGGCGTCTGATGTGAACCATACAGGCTGTCGTGCTGCCCACGCGAAGGCCTATATAGAGAAGGCGACCGTCACGATCGACTTCTCTTTAGAAAATAGCCAGGCAGCGGAGAGGAAGAGAGATGAGCTTGCAAAAGCAAGAGAGTCGATATCGAGCAAAAATATTTGTCGCCAGCGACGAGAGCGGCGACGAGGAGGACCGAAAAAAGTAGGAACCCTTCCTTGGACAATAAATTCCTCGCAGCTAGTTGTCATTCTATACCTTAACGTCCATCGTACCAAGTTTTATCACTTCAAGTGCACGCGTTCATGTCCAAAGTCTAAGTTCAAATTGTCGAAAGTTAAGCGACAATATTGCTGACACGGACCAAGTACAACAACCCTATGATACTTGTCCATGTACAGTCCTGTCTATAATACCCATGTACAGTCCTGTCTATAATACCCATGTACAGTCCTGTCTATAATACGTTGTAGGGTTGGTGAGGTTGCTCATCACAGCAAGAGAGCAACATAAAAGAGCGGAAAGTCAAGTATGAATTCAGACATCAAATCTTTTGTAGCATGCAAATCTATACATGCCCAACATGTGCCAATGGCCGACTGCATGCAAAACCTATGTAGAACCTATGTAGCCTTTTAACAAAACACATGCAGTAGATGCAGGATGAAATTCAGATGATAATACTTGGTCCGCGTCAGCAATATTGTCGCTTATCTTTCGACAATTTGAACTTAGCCTTTGGACATGAATGCGTGCACTTGAAGTGATAAAACTTGGTACGATGGACGGTAAGGTATAGAATGACAACTAGCTGTGAGGAATTTATTGTCCAAGGAAGGGTTCCTATTTTTTCGGTCCTCCTCATCGCTGCTCTCGGCGCTGGTGACAAATAATTTTGCTCGGGATCGACTCTCTTGCTTTTGCAAGCTCATCTCTCTTCCTCTCCGCTGCCTGGCTATTTTCTAAAGAGAAGTCGATCGTGACGGTTGCCTTCTCTATAGGACTTCGCGTGAGCGGCACGACAGCCTGTGTGGTTCGAATCAGACGCCGTTCTTTGCAAGATTTTATTTTGAACGATGACGACGACGCGTACAGTGCTTGCAAATCTCCACAACGCGCTGAATACTCCGAGCGTTGAGCTGGAGGTAAGGGAGCTGCGATCTCAGCTTGACGAGCGATCCCTGAGGTGAGCGATCTCGGCCGTTCAGCAAAATGGAGCTGATTCCGAGTAACCGATTACTTTCTTGTGGCTTGCACTGCTCTTTCCTGCACAGCGTAACAAGATAATCTATTTTGATGCGGCACTGTACCAATCAGAATCACCCACCCGTCGCTCTCGAAATCCACTCGAACTCTAGCTAGACCTATCAGGTACTAGTCACCTAACTTGCTAACCAAAATTGGGATGAAATGGGCTGCCAAGTAAGCAATGGCGACATATAAACAAAGCTGAAAGATAAGCGACAATATCGCTGACGCGGACCAAGTAATAATAATAATAATAATTTGAAACTCGGATGTTGAGCCATAAATAAATGTAAAAGAGAAAAGGACATATGGATACGAGTTAAGAGTAACTCTCCATCACTGTAACATGATACTATATACAGTCAGAAAGTGCAATAACTAGGCACAAAACTGACAGTGTACTGAGACATTCGACGTCCTGACACCTAACTTCAACACATCTCCGTAGCGATAACCGACAGCCTTCCAACTTGGAAGGTTCAAGGTAATGGAAAGACCAAAGAGGGGAAGGCAAGCGCAACGAAAACGAGCAAAACCTCTTTGGTCTTTCCATAACCTTGAACCATAACCTTGAACCTTCCAAGTTGGAAGGCTGTTGGTTATCGCTACGGAGATGTGTTGAAGTTAGGTGTCGGGACGTCGAATGTCTCAGTACACTGTCAGTTTTGTGCCTAGTTATTGCACTTTCTGACTGTATATAGTATCATGTTACAGTGATGGAGAGTTACTTTTAACTCGTATCCATATGTCCTTTTCTCTTTTACAATAATAATAATAATAATAATATTAACTGGTTTTGAGGGAAAGAGACAAACGGGAAAAGTCTGAAGAAAAAATTGACTGTCACCACCAGGACTCGAACCAGGGACCCTCGCTTGTAGCCAGCGATGCTCTAACCACTGAGCTATGGTGTAGTCGTCATCCAAGCTGAGACCGTTCAACGTTTTCTTCAGACTTCGTAACTCACACTTCCTGTGAATCCACACAGGCGGGTGGGACGCAGCCCTCACTGTACCCACACACTTCACGTACAAACTAGCACGCGGGGAGCCCCAAGTCATAAAATATTAACTGGTTTTGAGGGAAAGAGACAAACGGGAAAAGTCTGAAGAAAAAATTGACTGTCACCACCAGGACTCGAACCAGGGACCCTCGCTTGTAGCCAGCGATGCTCTAACCACTGAGCTATGGTGTAGTCGTCATCCAAGCTGAGACCGTTCAACGTTTTCTTCAATAATAATAATAATAATAATAATAATAATAATACTGACTGGTTTGAGGGAAAGAGACAAACGGGAAAAGTCTGAAGAAAAAATTGACTGTCACCACCAGGACTCGAACCAGGGACCCTCGCTTGTAGCCAGCGATGCTCTAACCACTGAGCTATGGTGTAGTCGTCATCCCAGCAGAGGCCGTTCAACATTTTCTTCAGACTTCGTAACTCACACTTCCTGTGAATCCACACAGGCGGGTGGGACGCAGCCCTCACTGTAACCCACACACTTCACGTACAAACTAGCACGCGGGGAGCCCCAAGTCGTAAAATACTGACTGGTTTGAGGGAAAGAGACAAACGGGAAAAGTCTGAAGAAAAAATTGACTGTCACCACCAGGACTCGAACCAGGGACCCTCGCTTGTAGCCAGCGATGCTCTAACCACTGAGCTATGGTGTAGTCGTCATCCCAGCAGAGGCCGTTCAACATTTTCTTCAGACTTCGTAACTCACACTTCCTGTGAATCCACACAGGCGGGTGGGACGCAGCCCTCACTGTAACCCACACACTTCACGTACAAACTAGCACGCGGGGAGCCCCAAGTCGTAAAATACTGACTGGTTTGAGGGAAAGAGACAAACGGGAAAAGTCTGAAGAAAAAATTGACTGTCACCACCAGGACTCGAACCAGGGACCCTCGCTTGTAGCCAGCGATGCTCTAACCACTGAGCTATGGTGTAGTCGTCATCCCAGCAGAGGCCGTTCAACATTTTCTTCAGACTTCGTAACTCACACTTCCTGTGAATCCACACAGGCGGGTGGGACGCAGCCCTCACTGTAACCCACACACTTCACGTACAAACTAGCACGCGGGGAGCCCCAAGTCGTAAAATACTGACTGGTTTGAGGGAAAGAGACAAACGGGAAAAGTCTGAAGAAAAAATTAATAATAATAATAATATTAACTGGTTTTGAGGGAAAGAGACAAACGGGAAAAGTCTGAAGAAAAAATTGACTGTCACCACCAGGACTCGAACCAGGGACCCTCGCTTGTAGCCAGCGATGCTCTAACCACTGAGCTATGGTGTAGTCGTCATCCAAGCAGAGACCGTTCAACGTTTTCTTCAGACTTCAATAATAATAATAATTTCAAATGATCAGTCAGGGAAGTGAACTGCCTGAAAAGAGAAAAAAACGCCAGACCCACCAGGACTCGAACCTGGGACCCTGCTTGTCATGAGCAATGCTCTAACCACTGAGCTATGGGACCAGGCTGAACCCAGAAGGCGCTGACAAGTTTTTCACTCCAAAGGCAATTCACAACACGTGCCACACATACTGATGGCACTTGGGTCTTTTTCCCTCCCCCAGGGGACCAACCACGGTCAGTTTCTGGAAACTACCAGAGGTGAAAGAAAGTGATTAAATTTGGAAAGGTTTGGGAGAACTTCAATTTCAAATGATCAGTCAGGGAAGTGAACTGCCTGAAAAGAGAAAAAAACGCCAGACCCACCAGGACTCGAACCTGGGACCCTGCTTGTCATGAGCAATGAATTCAAAGGACGTTGGAGGTGTCAACAAGCCCAACGGAAGAGAACAACGGCAAACGTCGAAGGTGACAGAGCTAAATGATCGGACATCGTCCATCAAGCGTCATTTGTCGGGAAGTGCTAATTGTCGTGA